ACAGAACATAGGACAAATGCCCCTTGAAAAGTAACCATTGAATAAAACAGTAAATTTAAAGTAATGAATAACTGATGAAAGAATGAGGTAGGAACTAAGCTCAGAAAGAGGTAAATATGGAATTTCAGTTCAATTGGTAATGCTTTAAGTCATAAACAAGATATAAAATATGAAGAATGTTGGGTGGTGATAGTGGTAAATATAGAGCTGTTCTTTTTGTGTGTGCTTTTTCTATGCCTTTGAACACTTTTATCCTTAATGGGAATAACCTGATACTTCACTTCAAAATTTATACTTTTATTTATAAAACTAAAAATAAAAAACACAGACTAACTATAAATCTGAGGGCCAGCAAGTGGTTCAGAGGTTATGGCAACTGGATCCCACATGGCCGACTGCAGTTTGAGTCCTAAACTTGGTGAATGGAAAATCATGCCCCAAATCTCAAGAATGGAGAAGGGATTGTGATATGGCCATCTTCCCTGAGGGGTTATTTCTCACTTTCTCTAGCTCTCTCTTTCTCTCTCTCTGGCAAGTGCACACACCCAGTGGAAAAACTAAAAAATAAATTAAAAAACTATAAATTTATGATAGTCAGTGAACATATTTCAATATTGTAGCTTAAATTTAAGACTTTCTGATGAACTCTGAATTTTCTAGAACCAGTATTTAGGTCAAATAGAAGACTGTGTATACTATTTATACTCAATTTCATTATATAATGTTTACTCTTCTGAGTGAAAGTTTACATATTTATGCTTCATTTTAATATATTGAGGTAGAATGGAAATCTTAAAAGTCCAGAGCTACTCACAAGAACATGTCTTTTCTTCTCAGCCTTGAAAGCCTTTAGTGTTAGATTACCTCCAAGTTTCATAGCAATTTTTAAAGTCTTACATATAAAAAACTCACTTTTAAGTGTAGTCTTACTTTTAGGTGAAGATACATATTATATCTGTATCTATGTTTTATTACTAAGCTATAAAACAATTCAAACAGAAATATAAATCCAAAGGTCTCCACGCACTTGGCTTTGGTATGCATTATATAAGTGTTTGGCATGAGGGGAGGACTTTAAAAAGTTCACAGAAAAATGAAATCCAGGTACAAATTTATTTTGGTGCATAAAAATTGATACCTATGCATCATTCCTGTGTTTTCCATTAACTTTTTAAAAAAGTTTATTTCTACCACAAGAGCAAGAGCACCCAATGTGTCATAATCTATCCCCAATCTCAGCTGGCCTAGATCATGGGCAAAATTCTGGTGTTCTCAGTTAAGTCTGAACACAAAATTCAGGACCATCCCTGAGTCCAGCTGTGCTACCAGTGTGCCACTCAACACCTGACCCTCTATGAAACATTTTGAAGACCCCTCCTATTTTTACTTTATCAGAGTAACAATTGAGTTATTTTTATGTATTTTGAGAGAGATTTTTGCTATACGGCATGAGCTCCAGGGAGAGAGAGAGAGACAGAAAGTGAGAAATCCCCCCCTACCCCGGAGGGATAGCCACACGGCAGTCGCCTCTCCTCCATTTTCCTCTCGGGATTTGGGGCATGCACACGCACCCGGCATGATTTTTAAGCTGCCAGGTCCAGGACTCAAACCATGGAAAGACTACGTGGGAGTCCAGCAACCTACTTACAATGGGCAATCTGCCAGTCTGGAACTCTAGCATTTAAACTTTTTTACATACTAAGCAGTTCACCACTACATAGCCTTCCTGAACTAGGTACCCTATTTGAGCTTCACATTAATCTTCTGAGGTGACTGAAGCAGTATTTATTGCCTCCATTTTACAGATTAACACTAAAGTTTACAAGTGATTTGTCTTTTTCCTATAAACAATACGTAGGTCCAATCAGAATAACTTAAGTATATGATACAGTGACTACTATAATACAATGATTTGTTACCCCTCTTGGGTAAGCAAGGGCTTTCTTATCTGCTTTCAAAGGGTAAAACAGGTTTCTAGTATTAAATATAAACTGAACTTCTCTCTTAAGAAGGTGCTATAAGGGACCAGCAGATGGTGTAAAGGTTTCATCACTGGAGTCCTATACAGTTGACCGTGGTTCAAGTCTGACTCGGTGGCTTAGAACTCACATCAGGAACATGTGTGCATGTCCAAAATCCTGAAAGGAGAATGGAGAAGGGATTGTAGTATGGCTATCTCCCTGAGAGGTGATTTCTTGCTATCTCTCTCTTGCACGCATGAGTCCATTTGCCATACAGCAAAAATCTTTTTAAAAAGGTACTTTAAAACTCACCTCCAAGGCCAGCAGATGCATGGTGTTTAAGATATTGGACTCCGGGACCAGCAGTTAGCTAGTAATGGCTATGTCACTGGACTCCCATGTAGTCGACTGCAGTTCGAGCCCCGGACCGGGCGTGTGTGTGTGCGTGCCCAAGATCCCGAGAATGGAGAAGGCATTGCAGCATGGCCACCCCCCTGGGGAGTGATTGCTTGCTGTCTCTCTCTTTCTGGCAAGCGCATGCGCCCTATATCAAAAGCCTCTCTCCCACTCCGCCCCCAAAAAAGACATTGGACTCCTACATGGCTGACCATGGTTAGAGTACTGAACCTGGTGGCTGGAAAACCACGCCCAATACATGCATGTGTGTACCATGCAAAATCCCATGAGAATGGAGAAGGGATTGTATGTGGAATGGCAATTCCCCCCCCGGGGGAGGGGGTGATTTCTCACTTTTCCTCTCTGTCTCTGGCAAGTACATGTGCCCTATAGCAAAAATCTAAAAACAAAAAAATTCACTTTCCAAATAAATCTTAGTGTTAAAAAAAAAATCACTTTTACACTGTTACAAGAAAAAGTTATTTTTAGGCAGTGATGTCCTCTATATATTAACAAAGTCAGCTAGTCTTAAGACTATTTCACTGTTAGCTAGTTCACTGTACATAAGATTCTGAGAGGAAATGAGGGAGCAAGATGGCAGCCCATGGGGTCTTCATGACATGATCCCACCCATCTCAGCCAAATAGATTATTGGCATCTGCATACCTGGCATGCTCAGAGAGGTCCCAGTATGTAAATCCAGGACTTTTCCCTCTGTGCGTACAGCTGTGTTAATGCTGTGCCACCATCTGGTCCCTAACATTTAACAAACAATTTACTATGTGTCAAAGCCCGGGCAATTTTAAGTAAAATGTATTGAATTTAGCCTATTAAAAAATGTCAAAATCCCCACACATCACTGACTTGGTACTTTGGAAGGAAGGCTATACTGCAGCATAATGTAAACTACTGCAGAATTTTGCCACATCCTTAGGCAGAAAGAACTTCGGTTTCGGATCCCTCCACAGTTCAGTAATTAAAGCAAAACCAACTCCCACACAGTGCTTAGGACTTTTTTTCTTTCAAGTCGATCCCAACTACAAAGAACTACCTGAATAGAGGCCAGAACCTGCTTTTAGCTATTCTAACTGCCACTATACTGAAAAAAAAAACTCACCTAAAAATGCTTTGATCAATTACAATTTATAACTATGGCATTTTTTAACAGACTTTTGACACATTTGATGTTTCTATAATGCTTCTGTACACCACCATTTTAAAAAGAAAACCATAGGTGATCACCTCACTCCCAAATCACCCACAAACTGCTGACTCTAATGCAAACATTTTTTTAACCTTTTTTTTTGTTAGAGGTGATTAAATTAGTCTATTAAGTAGAGTACATTTAAACACCTTATTCTCCTTCTTTTATTTATTAACCTAATGTTTAAATTCTGCAAAATTGGACAGTATGTTATAATACAACAAATTCAAGGAAGATGTATACTCTAAAAAGTTATTTGACCTCAATATTCCTGTTTATAAAAAGTGACCGATATTGTGAATGTAAATAGCACCCTATTCAGAACCTAAGTTTTAAATGCAAGTAGAAACATCTTCAGTTTTTAAAGGTAAATTACCCTTAAGTTTTAAAATATCTGATGTTTATCTTCCTCCCCAACCAAGACAAAAAAAAAAGTTATGCTTTCTTTCCAATGACACCAAATACCCGTTTGTTAGAACTCACGAGATAGTCTAAGATTAGTAAGTAGGAAATCTTTAGCAGACACAAAAGATGAAAGATGAAACTGCAGCAAGAGAGCATGGCAAATCCAAAAGATCTATTAGTGCATAAATCTACTAGGAAAAAAAATAAAAAACAACAGTAACAAAAGAGAAAGAAAGAATTAACGAGCTACAATAATAGTTATGTCTTAAAAGCAGTAGATTATAACAGGGTGGGAAATGTTTAATATGTGTCCTCCTGAAAAGCGTTTACTATCTTTTAAATTAAAAAAAAAAAACAGCTAATATTTTAACAGCATCTAGATTTATTTATGGTATAAAGCCATAGACTTAGTATTATTACTCCTTTCCCACCCTGGCAGAGAATAAACATGAATTCAGAAGCACAGTGAAGTGAAAACAAAGAAGAGGAGAGAAAAGGCAGCAGAGAAAGACAGAAAAGGTGAATACAGAGCTACAGAAGTGTTTATTGAGCATGCTACAGAGGTAAGCAGAGTACACACAAAATGAAATTAAACAACCATCAAACCTCCCACTTTGTTAGAAAATTAATTTTTAATTGTGCCGCTTTCAAACTATACTGAATTTTACATTTCTAAAGATGTAAAAACTCAACTAATAGAAAATATACATGACCATTCTGTCTACATAGATAACAGAATCTATGAATCTTGAAACTAAGTACATCAATTTCAAAAAGTATTGGTCATTTAAACAGAATCAACAATTCAGATTGACAAGAACTGTTCAAATTAATTTGACCTGTAGATTCTGAGCCATGTTTTTATTAAAGTCAGATCTATTCCTAAATACAAAATATTTTGAAGATTTATTAAAACTGAATATTACAATGCAAGGTAAATTAAGACTAAAGGCACATAAACTTTGGTCCCACCTGGTTGTCAGTTTAAGAAAACTGCCACAAAATTAATCTTCCTGCAAGTTTTTGCAGTACACTTTCTTTACCTTTGAAAAATACATGCACCAGTTCCGGAACTAGCTAGACCAGTCTGCACATGCTCAGAAATCCACAACCATATTCCAAATCTTAATTACAAACTAAGGATGGCAATATATATTTAAATGCACGTAAGTCATGTCAACTTCAAAAACATCTACGAAAAATATTCAGCCACAAACAAGACATTACTTAGTGCTGACATTTATATGATACGTCCCACAAGAGTGTGTACAAAAAGGTTAAGATTCCACAATGCTTTCCACATAGGGCTCAAACTTACAGAAATCACTTTGTTGTCTTAAGAAATTAATACTCTGCATCTTGTTAATTTTAACTAATGCCTACATTCATAACTGAATCTAGACCAGAATTGTGAGATACAAAAGGCCAATGTTTTTTAAAGCAATATAGCCTAAAGTAGTAACAACTAAAAATGCTGCTCTATTCTTTCAATACCATGTATCTTATTTGGTTATTAGAAAGAAATGTGATAAGCCAATAATTCAAAATAAGTTCCAAGCAGGAGAAAAAAAACTTAACCTTTTGACACACCCCTGCCTAAACATATTTTAATTCCCATATAACAATGTGCCCTAGACAACCAATTCCTTTTTTCTAGTAAATGCACAATAGCAACACTAGTTTTCCTTTTTAAGGCACGTATGTCAACTAAGTTGAAAAAAAAGAAAGCAAAATTTAACTGAAATTTTAAACAGACAATAAAAATGGCTTTCCCTATAGAACAGATGAAATATAGCAGTTAGTAACTCTGCCTTTACATATGCCATTTCGTTCTGTAACCAAGGAATGATAACAGCATGAAAAAAACAAACAAACAAACAAAAAAAAAATCAAACTCTGGTCCCCACTTTTCTGAACAGTCAATAGGTGATGACACTGAACATTGTGATTCACCCCCAATTTTCATCTCCCCCTGTTTAAATTGTCGACTTGGAGAAAGATACTCTCAGATGATGATTTTCACCGAGGTTGTAATTATGAAGATCAATCAAGGCCTGAATAGCTTCTTCCACTGTTGCCATTTGAAGAAGAGCCATTTTGTGATCTCTTCTGAAACAAAATTATGAAATTAGATACTTCATAAAAATGAGGAAGGGCTTTAAATATTTGAATTTTGCTCATTCTAAAATAAAAATTTCTTGGGCCAGGAGGTGGCACTGTGGTTAAGGTGCTGGAATTCCCAGATGCCTGACTGCAGTTCGAGTCCCTGACCTGGTGGCTTGCTTTCTCATTCTCTCCAACACCTCCTGACCTCTTTCTATGGCGAGTCTTGAAAATAAATAAATACATAAAATAATAAATAAAAATAATACTTAAAAAAATACAAAATAAAATTTTCTATAAACAAAAATAATAAAAACGACTAGGAAAAAAATTCCTCTATCGAGTCACCATTTTTTTTTTTAATTTGCTATAGAGAGCATGCATTCACGAAGAGAAAGCGAGAAAGTACGCCCCAGGGGGATAGTTCATGCTACCATCCCTTCTTCTCTCAGGAATCTGAGCACGCATATACACATGCACAAGCACAGTCCTCCGTGCCAGCCTCCAGGTCCTGAACAGAACAATGCAGCTGGCCACAGGGATCCAGCCATGCTAACAGCTACACCACAGGCTGGCCCTCAAGTGACTAATTAAAAGACAAGGAAGCTTGCTTACTGAAAAAACTTAAATGCTTTCACAGTGCCCCCAGTGTTAGCAAACAGAGTTCGTAGATCTTCTTCTGCAACTGAAGGACTGGGAAAGTTGGACAGGGGAGAAAAAGAGAAAGGATTAATAAATTTTATGTTTTTTTTTTTTTTAAATAAAAATGTTTATCCTTCATAAATTTCAGCTTAAATACTTACGGAATATTAGATAGGTGGAGAGTTGCAGAAGGAGGAAAAATGTTTTGAAAATTTTTGGATCCAGGTTTCTTAAAACGATGCAATGGGGAATTACCAAAATCTTTTGTTAGCCCTTGATCATCAAGTCCCTCTCGAGGTAGTTGTACTGTCTGATGTTTAGACAGAGTAACACGAATAATTTTTCCATACATTTTCTGCCCATTAAGATGGTTCATGGCTATAAAAAGAAAAACAAATTTCTGTTAAAAAACAATATCAAAGTTCCAGATGAAAGTAATTCTTACTTTAAAATAATTAACAAATCCAGGGGCTGGCAGGTGACGTGGAGGCTAAGGCACTGGACTCCCACATGGCTGACCATGGTTCAAGTCCTAGACCTGGCAGGTTGCTGTCTTACTTTCTCTCTCACTTTCTCTCTCTCTGGTCAAACTGAACATTGATAATAATAAATAAAATTTGTATATTCCACCCTAACTATCTTTCAGCTTTGTATCCTAATTACTAAGTCCTGTGATGGTCTTCCTCCTAATATTTTCTCAATTCTTCCACCTTTCACTGTTCCTTTTTATCTGGCTAACCTGGTGTCCTCATTTGTCTTCCTGGTGGATATTTCGCTACTCCTCTTCAATCCACTTCATATGAAATAGCTAGATAATCTTTGTACATTACAATCTGACGATCATTACGGGGCAAATTCTAAACTCATTCTCTAACATAGCTTATACCTTTCCTGGATTGACCTTTATGTTTCTTTCAGCCTCTTTGAACAGATTTTTATCAATAATATTCAATACCAGTCATTATGCTAGTTCTGGGAATAAAGTAGTAAGGAAAAAATCATCTCAGTTCTCATGGAACTTGATATCTTAGTACACTACTCCTTATGCTTTCTGCTCCAGTTATACAAACAAATAGTATAATGAAACTAAGCACTCATTTTTTCTGACTTTTATTCTTGTATACATAATACTCTCTCTTTAATAAAATAAAAAGCTTTGTCAAAAATTATATACACAATGATTAAACAAAATAAAACAGAATAAAAGTCCCTGGATACTAATATTAAATAAAGTTTTAAATGAGAATCTTATACTTTGAAGTCCACTGTTCCAACAAACATAGCAATAAATGGATGAAGCAATGAAAAAGAAGGAAAAGGTCAATGCCATGTAGGGGAAATGTTATTTTTGGTTAAGTATAATTTTTAACTTCCCTAACACATCGTTGAAGGTATTAATGAATAAAAATTGAAAGCACAGTAAGAAATTTTAAGTACAGAGGTTTATATAATGTGAAAATGAAGCTATAATCAATAGTTCTCCCCTTTGTAAGTAAAAATATAATCATGCTTATTTTCCTCAATCTGTAGAGACATTTAACTATTTTATTAGTATTTTCAGAGGCCTCAGCTCTTGGCTTTGTTTCTCAACTGTTTACACCTTGATTTCTAGTCTCATCATTAGTATCTTCTTTCCTTGAGTTTATATTGTGATTTTTAAAGTTAAAACTTTCTATCAAAACATCACTTTTATTGTACCACACTCAACTAATGTTATATAATACTTCATTATCATTTAATTCTAAGTATTTATAACTTACCTTTAAATAGCTTCTTTGACCCATGAGATATTGAAATTTTGAACTCCCAAACACAAGAAATTTGAAATGTATCTTTTTTTATTAAATCTAACTTCACTGTGCAATAGAGAATGAGATCTGTATGATACTTTTTGAAATTAACTGACGTTTCCTTCATAGTTTAATGTATGATTGATTTTTGAAAATGTTCTCTATGTGCTTAAAAAGATGTGTTGATTACATAACTATTGGAAGCATAATTCTGTTAAAGGAACTGTTATATCATCTGTATTTTTATTGAATTTTTCTGGGGGGCCTATTTGACATAATTTAGAAAATTTGGTTGAAACCCACCGCTCTAATGGATGTGCTCAATTCTACCTATTGTTCTATGTATTTCTGATTTATATATTTGAAGGCTAAATTCACTAAGCATACATACTCATAAAACTGTTGTACCTTTCTGGTAAAGAAAACCTTTTATCAGTACTTTGTCTTTAATTATTAAAGGCGTGTAAGATTTCTTTTGCTTTCTACTTGCTCAAATATATCCTTTATTTTCAGTCTTCTTAAATCCTTGTGCTTTATGTCTCTTCTAAAGAGAATACAGTTTTAAAAATCAACTCTAACAATCTTGTAACTGATTTTATTTCTTTACATTTGTTATTATAATTGATATATCAGGACTTCATCTTATCGTAATTTTTAAATTATTTTTGTCTATGTCATTTGTTATTTTCTTTTCCTTCCTGTTTTCTTTTTAATAGGAATAATCACTCATATATAAAGAATGATTTTTTTTTTTCATTTCAAGGAGATGGACCCCCTTCCTCCCCCCATGCAGCATGGTCATGCTAGAATCCTTTTCCTCCACTTCATTAGGAATTAGGTCACATACACATGACCAGTGTGTTTTTCAAGATGCTAGGGTCAGGATAAAAACCTCAGCTGAACATGTAGGATCCGGATCTCTACGCATAGCACTTAACCATTTCACTATGGGGCCATTCCTCCTTCCCTTGTTTGTTGAGGAAAAAAAGGTTTCTCGAGACCTTTTATAAGACAAGCAATGCCTTAAAGTGTGAATTAATAGTCCTAATTAGCCATGATCCAGGAAGTGAAAGCTAATACAGTATATATACATACTTTTGCTAAAATATCATAACACCAGAGTAATAATATAATTTCCATTCATTTTATAGCACACTTTGATAGATATAATTTTGTAAAGTAAAAGTCTGTTTTGAGTAAGAACTATGTAAGTGTACTTTTGAGATGACAGCTACATATTAAATAAAAACAGGGGTATTTTAAAAAGCAATTTCTGAAAACATGAATGGGAGGAAACCAGACAATTATTTTACTTTGAAGGAACTACTCTAGCACTTTTGTTACTCATTTTAATCTTTGGAGGTCAGTACACTATTTTTTACGAATGAGAATTTACAAATTATTGTTGAACTAGTCAATTAAAAACTACTGTATTAAGTAAACAAGCTCATTGTAGTAATTATCAAAGCAACATCTAATGCTTGCAAATTTTAAATTATGGTCTAACACAATTTAAAATGGCCAGTACGACTTGCATCAATCGGATTCACATTTAAACATTACTGACTGTATCTTTTAATTTTCCTGTTTATTTCTTCTCTTGCTACTTCTTAAGCATAAAGACATCTGCCTATAATGCTTCATCTATTTCCAAATACAGTTTTATGAAAACCAAAAAGAATGTGAAGAGATCCCAGAGACAAAAGCATATTAAAATTTTTGGTCTTATTTTTCTCAAGAGTACATCCTAGTTTTAGGTGGCATTTGAATGAGTTGTGTATATGTATGTGTTTGTGTGTTTGATAAACATTGATGGTATATGTATTTTTATAGCCATATACTTTGAAAAAGCATAATTTACCCTGGCAACAATAATGATAAATTATTTACCATTTGATATAGTGTCAAAATTTATAAATATCTTATAAAAGATAATATCTTATAAAAATGGAAATAAACAATTTATAAATAATAATGTAATGAACTAAATTGTGCCCCCCTTTTATATGTTAATGTTTTAACCCCCTATGTCCTCCTATGTAACTCATTTAAAGATAGGATCTTTAAGAAGGTAATTAGAGTTAAATGAAGTTTAATTAAGGGTAGAAGGGTGAAACTTTAATTGAACAGAAAATTGGTGTCCTTAAAATAAGGAAGAGATCTTTCTCACTGTGCTTACACAGTGAAAAGCCCATGTCAGGAAATAGGGAGAAATGGCTAGAGAGCCCTCACCAGAAACCGAACTGGTTGTCATTCTAATCTGAGATCATTAGCCTCCAGAATGTTGACAAAAGGATATTTCTGCTTGTAAAAATTAAAGTTCTGGTATAAAATATGTTTTTCAAATACTTATGATGTATATAATAAAACAGCAGCAATGACAACCCACACCAAAGTACAGAAATGCACCTATGGCTACATCAGTACTTTCATATTATCATTCAATTAGGTAAGTAATCCCATTTTAAAACTAGAGATGGACAATTTTATACCTTGTATGAGCTTTCAAGATCACTGCCAAAAAATCAAAGTTCAAGCTTACTGTTTAAAATTCAAATCTTTCTGATTCCTAAATCCATACAGATTATATGATAGACTGGTATTACTAAATATAGATTAGTACTAACATATTGTTCAATCCATGAGTCTAACACAACAGCAAAACTACACTAGACCTTACCTGAAAAATGGTTCATTTCAAAATTAACAGCTTGAATGTAATCAGAAGCATCACCATCCCAGAATGAACAGAATTGTAAAGCAGAAACAACCTGATATTTATAGCCAATCACAATGGCATATGCAGCTGTACTTCAGATGCATGTGATTTAACTTTGTTTATGAAGTCAAATGAGGTTCTTTTACTGCTGGGGGAAGGTTTTTTTTGTTTTTTGTTTTTTGGTTTTTTTTTGCTATAGGGTGCTATAGACAGACAGAGACAGAGAGATAGAAAGCGAGAAATTACCCCCCGGGGGGGGATGGCCAGGCTACAATCCCTTCTCCTCCATTCTCCTCTTGGGATCTTGGGCATGCACGCACATGTGCCCGGCGTGAGTTTAAGCCACCGGGTCTGGGACTCGAACCGCGGTCAACTACATGGGAGTCCAGCAACATAGCCATTTCACTAACTGCTGGTCCTATATGAGGTTCATTTTAATTAAAATCATTGATCACTTATCTAAGTAAAGATCTAAGTTGAACCTGCCTAAAGTACACGTTAAGATTCCCAAAAGGATTAATGATGCTTTTGGCACAGGCTTTTTTGTTTTATAACAACTTGCTATTTCTAGGTCAGGAGGTGGCACAGAGGTTAGGGTGCTAGACTCCTACATGGTCAACGGCTGTTTGAGCCCCAAACCCAGCAGCTTGAAAATCACACTGGGTGCCTGAGTATTTGCCCGAAATGCCAAGAGGAAGATAGAATGAAGAAACTGCAGCATAGCTATCCCCCCTCCCTCCTGGAGGGTGAATAACAACTTGCTATTTCTAGGTCAGGAGGTGGCACAGAGGTTAGGGTGCTAGACTCCTACATGGTCAACGGCTGTTTGAGCCCCAAACCCAGCAGCTTGAAAATCACACTGGGTGCCTGAGTATTTGCCCGAAATGCCAAGAGGAAGATAGAATGAAGAAACTGCAGCATAGCTATCCCCCCTCCCTCCTGGAGGGTGACTTCTCACTCCCCACTCCACCCCCCCACCCCGGTTTCTCGCTGGCAAGTGCACATGCCATATGGCAAAAAAAAAAAAAAAAACACACCTTGCTA